TGTTATTACTATTTTTTTTTTCCTCTCAGTACCAGGGATCAAACGCAGGACATTGCGCTTGCCAAGCAGGCACCTATGCTGCTAAGCTATGTCCCTGATGTCTGTTGTCTTTAATTACCTGAGCACTCAATAATTATTAATTATTCTTCCACTCACAACTGGAAGAATGTTACTTATTTACATTTTATAGTTTAAAAATAAACTAATTCAGCATTTTATGCTGTCATGTCTAATAAAAGTTTCAAAAATTGTAAATATTTTAAGAGTGATTTTATCTTTTTTTTAAACTAGTGTTCAGAATCAGGTGGATGAGGTTATTGATGTCATGCAAGAAAATATCACAAAAGTAATTGAAAGAGGGGAGAGACTAGACGAACTGCAGGACAAGTCAGGTACGTCTCCTTTACTGATTTCTTCATATTAATCTATGTTTTGCTAATTTAATTTACATCATCTTCCACTTCTGTCGCCAATGTTTAGGAATATTGGCTTAGGAAGTTAGCATTTGATTCTTGAGATTATGGTTTTTATGGTTTAATTTTAGCTCCCTTTACTTTGAACTGTACTATTGTTATATTCTTTATTGCTCAATTGACAATGGAGAATTTTTAATCTGTGCATTCTCTAGTAACTTAGTAACCTTTCTTCAGGGGCAAATGTTAGTTTCATCCCTGTATCAGTTCCTGGTGCAGTGTAGGCACTCACATGTGGAGTGAATGATGCTGGCTGACTGATAATTCATGCTTTCTCTGGTAATTTTAGTAGCTTTTCTTTACTGACAGATGTTAGTCTTGGTGCCCCTAAACTTCCTGGCTTGTGTTGGTCACTTGTACTGTTTGGGTATGGCTGAATACCTGATTAATTCTTGACAGACTTACTTGACCAAAAAACTTACTGTTTTTCCTTAAATAGGCAATTGCTCTGAGTTTCTAAAAATTTTACTTTCTTCATATATGATTTTTTCTAGAAATATGCCAATTAGTTATTTGTTTTTTTCCTGGTGCTGGGGATTGAGCCCAGGGCCCCTACACACACGGAAAGCTTGTACTCCACCACTGAGCACTATGCCCAGCCCCTGCTGTTTGTATGTTATTGTCTTTTAAACATTTTTATTGATACATGTTTGTAGTATATAATGGTTACATTAATCATGAGGTGTTTATACATGTATATAACACACCTTAATTCTTTTTATGTGACTTCCCCTCTTCTGCCTCGGTCTCCTTACCATTTGCAAAATACCTATCTGTTTCCATGTAGTGTTCATAATTTTGTTGTTGTTTTGTGGGTTTTTGTTTGTTTTTGTTATTACTGGGGATTGAACTCAAGACCTTGCACTTGCCAGGCAGGTACTGTGGCACTGAGGTATCTCTCCAGCCCCATGTAGTGTTCATATTTTTTACTATTTTCTTGCCATAATTCATTTAGGAATTGAGAACATGGAGAGGATGTCCTAATCTTACAGTAAAAGTAGATTGACCAAACTGACCTGTAGCTATATTTTGCTTTTTATATTGGTTTTGTCTTTTCTACAGTGTAGAACGGTAGAATTTGTGGGTGGAGGAAAAGAAGTATGTTGCATTCATGCTTAAAAGGAAACAAATTTTCAGAAGTGGAAATTAATATTTTCTTGTCTTTGTGTGACTAGATAAAAGAATCCTGTTATGTCGTTTAATCCTTCTCTCCATCCTCTATGTGATATAGAAAGCTTATCGGATAATGCAACTGCTTTTAGCAACAGATCCAAACAACTACGAAGGCAAATGTGGTGGCGGGGATGCAAAGTAAGTAAATCAAGACACTGCACAGATTGGTTAGCATCTCAAGTTGTGTTATAGACATGAGGCAGCACGGGCCTGAAAACATAAGTCTTGCAAGGGTGGGGACTGTCACTGTCTTGTTATCCCTTCTGAACCTGGAACAATTAAAAAGAAAAACTTAGAATAATCTAGCAAGCCTCAAAGCATATTTCCATAGATCACTTTAAAAAAGTAGTTCACATTCTATTATTATTTGCTTCTGGACTTATTATAACAAATACACATTTTTATAACTTATTTTAGTACTTTTGGAGCATCCTATGTCATTATAGAGTGATTTTTTTAAATGAAATGGGAGCTACAGAAAAATATGTTTTTATGTTGAGAGGGAAAAAATAAATCTCTTCTTCCAAGTGGGATCAAGGGAGAAAAAAATCCCATTATTCCAGAGCAATAAGAAATAACTTTTTAACAAGGAAAGAATGGAATCACTGGACACTAATATATTTCTGCCAAACATTTTGTGAAATGAATTTACTTCATAAATAAAGTGCAGCTAGCCATGCATGGTGACACACACCTGTAATCTCAATAGTCTGGGAGGCTGAGGATTGCAAGTTTGAGCCCAGCCCAAGCAACTTAGTGACTTAGTAAGACCCCGACTCAAAATAAAATGTAGAAAAGGTCTGAGAATATAGCTCAGTGCAAAGGTTCTACGTTCAATCTTTAGGACTTCCAAAAAGAGAGAGAAAAAATTATATAT